TAGTGTAGTATGTATGATAAATTTGCACCTGGATTTGTGGAGAGACCAAGGACGACTGTACGTGTTCCTCCACCAATGTCCCATTCTCCACGGCGTCCTAACACCATTTGGTCACAACATATAGCGACATGTAACTGACGTACAAGACGACGTGGGCGCTTGCTGCCCAATTCGATCATTGCGTTTTCCGCGCGGCGCACATCCGCTTGAGCTCGCATCAATGCCTCTTTACGTTTGAGCGAAAAAAACAGTTTCGCATCCGAGTCATCCGGAATTGGAACTGTAAACAATTTCGCATCTAAAGCGCGTTGGGCGATTGCATTTTTGGCTACCATTGCAGCAACAAGATCCGCATGCATCTTGGCAGTATTTACAACATCTAATTCGATATATATATATATCGTAGAAATAAATATCATACAAATATAATAATATAGATATATATTACCCAGTTGCGCAAGTTTTGCCCGTTGTGCCCCAATTGGCCGCTTCTCCTGCGCAAGTGCGATTGCACTGGGTGTTGTTAAAACACTCGCTGGTACCGCGGCCACCCCAGGTGCATCACTAGCAACATTGGATGCACGCTGCCACTTCGGTTGGTCCTTGAGGATCTCCCAGCAATGAACCAATTTAAATGGTGTTTGCTTCTTGTTCCATTTTTGGGCTTTGAAATACTCATGCGCGTCGGCCATGTACTGCTCGGTGTTATATCCAGAGCGAACGATCGATGTCGATAGTTTGAGCGCCGACGCGAATGCAACAACTTGTTTGTTGATTGTATCTCTCATGTGAATGTAGAGACCCTCACCAGTTCTATAGTATTGCAAATGTTACCCTTGCCTTCATATACCAATAGCAAATTAGCTTATCATGCACTATACCTCTGTGTGCATTCAGGACTACTGTTGTAGGCTGCAGCTACTCGGGTGTAGAAATGACTTGCAGTTTGATCGTTTCCGACGATAAGATCGAGGGAGGCACTCAGCCATGCGTGACACAGCTGCACCTGCTCATGTGGGGTGAAGTTCCGGGAGCGTTCCTTCATTGCTTGTTTTGCTTGGAATGGGAAACAAAGCCACGAATCGATGGAGTCGTAGATGAATATGATTGGTCAGTTGAGTTACTGGAGTCCAGTACTCCAACAAAAATTCCAACAAATTTACTGGAATATTTGTTGGAGTAGTGGAGTCCAGTAACTTTTGTACTGGCTATTGGTACCGGTGCGAACGCTTTTTTTGGAATTCCAGTAAATCGCCCAATAAAATTATTGGGATCTGAGAACTGCTGGTACCGGTGGTCTTAATACGTATTATGGTGCACATCATCTAAAAACTTCGAAGTGACCAAATCGAAGAGTGGAGGTTTTATTATTTAACGTACAATTAATGTAGTTAAACCCAAAAACCAAATACGTTAAATACCGATTGCATGCGTTTTATCACTGAAGTCGGAGGTTAAAGTTATCAACTGCCTCCGGATATTACATACGGGTAAAAGTCACATACAAAAAACAAGATACATCTCACCGGCCACCCCTATGGCCAAATATCCAAGCGCCCATGTAAAATACCGCTAAGTAAAATATCTATTTCTGGACCAATTCTTTACCAAATTTGAATCTGAGATGTAGAATTTCTTCATAGCATTGAGATCTGTCGATTCTTCGTCTCAATTTGCTGAAAATTTGAGTACTCAATAATGGATATGAAATAGAAGTCAGAAAATTTTATAGATGACGTACGCCATACTTTTAATATTAATAGTACTTCGAAGTAATAGAGTTATGAATTCGTTTTAGCATTTGGAATTTCTAGTCCAATCGAAAATCCAATGAAATTGATTCAATCCAACATTCCAACCAATGGTACTTCAGCGATGTTTTACCCAAAGATATGGCCCGCGAATACCGAGTTTCTCGGCAAAGCACTGTACAGTCATCCCCCGATTTTTGCAGCCCCGAGCAAATACAGCTTTATAGAGGTACTTATGTTGAAGGGTTGTATGAAGTCTTGGAGGAGTATACCTGAACACTAGATAAGGAGATTGGTCACATTTGATGAACACAAACTAACCCTTAAAATCCTAAAACCTTTAAAATCCTAAAACCTTACACATTTTGTGAAAGGTGGTCGTCAGATTACTCAAAGCAAGTACACTCTCAGTACTACTGTACCAACATTGAACAACGTCCTGCTTGATATGCAGTGCTCGAATTTGTTTCGACAGCCATGTCGTCGTGTATGCAGAGTTAATCACTTTGCAAGAATTCGCATGGCTAATGGTCAGTGCCCGTGATATCGTGGTATGACTTGGTGCTTGCACCGCATTTGATTCCTACTGCCTCCAAGTATTAAATTTTTAATATCCTGTTAAATTGAATATTCGATGGTATTACACAGAATATTCGTTTATACCAGGCTGCAAAAATCGGGGGATGACTGTACTATTAATAGTACCACTGGATTCAAGGCGTCTGTGCCTTGTCATGAAATGCAGTTCGCGCAACTGTACACTAAAGAAGTACAACTGTACAGATCATAAGGTTGTGTCAGAACCTGGTGTAGCCACCGTTGAAATCGCTAAACCTGGAAAATAACATGTTGGTACAATTCCCTCATGAAAACAGCTCCACTGTTGCTTTTCCAGAAACACTGCAATATGGGTGTTTATATGGGACTTTGTATACTCGAACCACATCACCTCTTACTAGGGGGTAAGTGCATCTCAGTGGTTAGCGATAGCTAACCACTGGCGACGTAGTCAACCCCGAGGATTAGCATCGTATGTGCTCATCGGGAGTAGGACGGTCCCTGGGGCGAAAAAGTTTATCCAGATAGGACAGTTTCCTCATTGAAATAGTATTTCGGGTCAAAACAACAGTAGAACTGTTTACACTATTAATGAGGGAATTGTTCAACATTATGAGTTTGCGCCTCGGCCCTAGGTCAGGGTCGATTTTGCAGAATTTTATATTTCCTTTAAAGTATACTCTAATTGGATTCAGATGTTAACTCACTTATCATTGAGGTTGTTTGTTGCTTGGAACAAAGTATCAGGCTGCGTTGGGTTATGCTGATCTTGACAATGAGCAAATCGTCATAATAACTCTTATAGCTATAGTCGATCCTATTTTGTACGAATGGATTCTACTCGACGCTACCTAGGTACGTCCTTGGATTTGAGTGATCGAGTAGTCCCCCAATGCACGACGGCAACACCACTTCTAGCCCCCTTCACCATCTCTTGATCGCCTCCATGGCGACAACTCGTCCTTTTCCGCCACATACATCCTTTCCGTTCGACCTTGCGATATATCATGTCAGAGTCACTATTTTGACCGATTCCGTCATTCAGATTAGTATGACATTTCAAGCAAAAAGGTCCACACAAAGACCAGATGGCATCACCACAACCAACGATGTCATGTGCCGGCAACACTGCCTGCTTGCAATGAATTGTAGTGTACGACCTAAGTACCATTTGTGAAAACGCATCGGAGTGTAACTTACTAGTACTATCTAGCAGCCAGCCATGAAACTCGCATTGTTGGTGGCCATTGTTGCGGGCGTTGTATCGTCTGTCCAAGCGCTTGGTCGTATCCCTGACGACCGCCAGCGCACGTGGGAAGAGGAAGACGTGATCTTTGGCGATGCCGACGACAACCGCCGGTGCCACACCCAAAACGACGGGTACCTCCCGGTACTCCAGCCGGGCAAGTACGCCGACAGCGCGTTCCACAACTGTTTTCGCACCGACACGCAAATCTACGAGTACATAGACGCGTTGGTTGTGCAAAACCCGACGATCTTGACCAAGTTTGGCGTTGCCCATACCGTCCAGAACCGCACGATCTGGGGGTACAAGCTGAGCACGGGGAACCGCCCCAAGTCGTTGTACTTTCAGGCTCAGCTGCACGCTCGCGAGTGGATTGCCGGCGCGTCCGCTGTGTTCACCCTGAGTTCATTTCTGGATGACATTGCCACCAACAAGCCGACGCCCGCCGCCGATTTTAACCTGTACTTTGTGCCAATTGTCAACCGAGACGGGTACCAACTCACGTGGGGTACTTTGCGGTACCAGCGCAAGAACGCCAACGAAGTCGACTTGAACCGCAACTGGCCGTCCAAGTACCCGAACCCGAACCCGCCGTCCCAGTCCAGCGAGGTGTACCCGGGTCCGTTCCCGTTCAGCGAGCCCGAAACCAACGGCATTGACAAGTGGATCGCGTCCAAGAAGGACGAAATCGACGGCTACGTTGACATTCACTCGTATGCTGGTTTGATTCTGTATGCGTTTGGTGACACCAAGCTGCCCATTGGCGGCGGCGTCGATGAAAAGTTTGCCGCGCTGGGCAACGCCATGTCTGCCAAGATGGTTCCCGTCGGGTCGTACATCCAGCAGCCGTCATGGAAGCTGTACCTGAGCTACGGCGTCTTTCCAGACTATATCTTCCGCACGTACAACAAGCCCGCAATTACGATCGAAGTGGTCGGCAACGACTTTGTTGCGCCTGTCAACACGATCCGCACCCGGGGCAAAGAAATCTACAACGGATTGGTTGAATACGCCAAGCAAGTGGTGATCTTCAACGGCGGAACCACCACCGCCGTGCCACCCACGACGACGACCCCGACCACCACCAAGCCATCGGTGACTCCCGCGCCCACCACCACCAAGCCGCAATGCTAAAAAGCGTATTGGTTGTTGTAGTGTCTGTTAACCTTGTGTGAAAACCAATATGAAAATGTGTAACGTAACGAGGCAATTTATGGACACCTTTTTGTCGAAGATAAATCGAAAATATGTTGCAAATTTTATCTATTTTTTTATCATTTTATATCCCCACAAAGCTGAGGGTGTGATTGATCGAAAATATTACATATTAATGGTTCTTTCAGATTTTGAACCGACGAAATGCCGCCAAGAACGCCATACACGCAGGTCACCATGGACAAGGCCGTCCACGATGTGTTAAGCAAAGTACACACGGCATCAACTGCTGCCGAGGCTATGGCATTCCATCGCGGACGCTTCCGAAGCATTTGGCAAAAGCTGACCCTGGCGTCATCCAAATACCAAGATCTTTCGGTCGAGCACCTATCCTACCGCGGCAGTACGAAGAAGATCTGGGTACTTGGATTGTCGGCATGGAGCGCGATGGGAAGCCTGTCGGCTATCGTGAAATCGTACAGGAAGCAAACGAGTTACAATATGAGGTGTATATTATTCCACGTGTGCCAATAACATTGGAAATGTTATTTTCCAACTGAGACTCCAATACGTGATACCTTTTCAGACTTGATAAACCTCTATTAATTTTTATTTCTTGCTGGATGTAAAAAAAACTGACACATGGATCCTTCTTACTTAGTTCAAGTATAAAAGTTGGCCCATCAATGGTCGACTGTGTAAAGTGCTCGACTTCAAAAAAATCCTGTACATTCCTAAACTGTTTAAGTCGATATCCTTGGAGTTATTCATAAAGTACTCAATCATTACCTATCCGAAAATGTATCATTCCCACTCGAAATAATTTTGATTAAAAATGAAGAAAAGTTGGCCCATCAATGGTCGGACACGTTATAACGTAACGAGTCAATTTATAGTCATGCGCGCCAATTTATGGACATGGTGCACCAGCCAATCAAAATCAAGTTCAACTTATTCTATACGTATGGGCGTAGTTCCGTGACAACTTGGTTCCGTGCCACGATGCATGATTGGTAGAAAACAATCACTCTGAAATTTTCAGCCAATCAGATGCAATTTTTGACAGACAACTGGATAAAATCAAGTGGCTCGGAACTGTTTTCAGCCTATCGATATTTCCACTCTTTTAATTCATTTTCCATCAACACTAATACGAATTTCGACATGATTTTAAGTTCTACGAACTGCATTAATTCTCCTCTTAAAAAAACACTATTATAATAGCAATTTGGAGTAAAGGAACCCCTCCATCGAAGGGTCCCAAAAAGTGTCACGGAACTGCGCCCATACGTATAATACTACGTAGTACTGAAATACTTTTGTAACCCAATATTGCACACAGAAATAAATTCAAAGAGAATCAATTATCCGAACACTAGCTGAGGCGCGAGCACCATGGCGCGAAAATCTGAAGCTCATAATATCACTCATCATTTTTGCATTTGACATCATGAGCTCAAAACGCAAGCAATACGATAAGGCTGCTATGGAAGCCGCGATCGAAGCCAGTGACAATGGCTCCAGCATTGCTGCCGCCGCGAAACTGCACGATGTACCGCGCACGACCTTGCTGCGCCACCTTGATCAGCGCCGGAACGCTTCTAAGCCTACTTGGTGGTCAGGATGTTGACATTGCGGCTCATTCCGGGATGGAGCGTGCACCTTGTGAGGACGTGGTCGAATTGGTGGAATTGTAATTAAGTTGACTTCTCGTTTAAATTCTATATCCTTTTATTTCTTATATATACTGTGGCATCTTATATTTGTTTCCATTGGAAAACTTCGAATCGAACGAACTTTTAGTATAGTCAAATTAAGTATAAAGTACCCTGTGCATCTCATCCAATGAACAATCAACACTTCAAATCCACCTAACTGCTGTAATACCTTAAAACTTGATGAAACAAGTTCCATTTTTCCCTCCATTTATTCATGCATGTTAAATTTGTCGAGAGGTTGCCTTTTGTCCAATTAGAGTTGATTGGCGTTTTAATTGGATGAAATAAGTTGGCCCATCAATGGTCGTTCGGCCCATCAATGGTCGGACACGTTATCCGGTTTCAAGGGACAAGGTCTAACAGTGTCGTCCGTCGCGAGGGGGGAGGCTCTCTCGCTCGTGTTGTCGTTTCAGCCAACATTCGTTTGAGTGCTGATTCGCTAAAGCCGTCGATCGATATGGATTGTTTCGACTGAGTGTTAATACTAATACCATTTAATTAATATAATACCCGGTTTTTGAAGCCCCGACTGAGCATTTAATTTTCAATATCGTGGTCAATTGAGTAGTATTCGATGGGATTACACAGGATATTCGTTTATATCTAGGCTGAAAAGTTCGGGGGGTGACGAGTGTCACACTAACGGTATATTCTAACCTACTACTGCATTCGTTCTCGTTTCAACTAAATTTAAGACGCATCTGTGGAATGTGGCTCGGGGGAATTTCCAAATCTCCATGCTCAAGCAACTTTTTCAACCTCCGAAACTTGGATGAAATAATGTTGTAACCACATACGGTTATATTGTGTTTTGCAGCCGTATTACATGAGAAAAACAAAGCAAATTTGGTTCCATTTTAACAATTAATTTAGGACACATGCTGTATCTTAATCAAAGTATGATCATTTGCTTACAAATTTTGTGTTTAGGGTGTTCGATTATAGAGTGATCTAATCCTTTTCATGGGTTACAAATTCGCAAGGAACGTTCAAGTATGCATTCTTCCCTTTCCAGATAGTGATGAAGAGGATATTTAGTTGCAAAGGTTTGCTTCAAATATTTTTGCGCCATTTGATTGGTTCTTGAACATAGATCTTAAATTGAGTCAGGTATCTTAAATTGATTGTTTACGTCATCACAAAATTTGTCAATTTTGATGGATTTCAATGAAATTTGTACCAATCGAAAGCTTAGTACTTCCTCTGTTCCAAATTACTGCGGACTTTTCCCTTCCCAGCGACCCCAAAACTTCATTTTCTGACCAAATTTAATGAATACTGCCATGTCTGAAAGGTAATAAAAATATGAAGGTATTGTCTATTGGCTGCAACGCGCAAAATAACCAATTTCTTGCTGTAAACTTGATTCGTCATCGGGTATCAGAAAAAAAATACAAAATAATGGAGGTTTATTTAATTATTCTGGGGCCTTGGTACTTTTGGCCACCCGTGGTGTTGCGTGGAATGGAGGGAAGATATAACAGCCGCTTGAAGCTGCCGCCCCTGGAAAAGTACCGTTAAGTGACGCATTGGTACTCTATGCATGAACCTCACCAACCGCGCTTCATTTCTCGGGGTTCGTCACCGTGAACTCGAAGCGCCAGTGGCGCGTGTTCCTTCTGCATGTTGTGGCCGAGAAATTTTGATTTTGTAACGACTCGAGCCAATGATAGCATTGTATTTTTCTGATTAGCCAATCATAATCAAGTAAAGTGTCCACACTAATATGGAACAAATGCATTTTGCATACTAGTATGTCCGCAGTAATTTGGACCAATGGAATATCGTTGAAATTGCTAAATTATTTGCTCACAGTTTAGCTTTCATCAACAGAAATATGCCAGTCACCCTATAAAAGTGATACACTCACGGGATTTGATTAATGTATGGTATCAGGTGTGTGACACAAGCACAGGTAAAGTCAAACTTCGTTTTTACCGTTGCTATTTTGGCGTAGAAACAAACCCTCCGGATAATGTAAGAGTTTCTATTCTGTATCCGTAACTTCGAATTGAAATAGAAGTAAAAACACCGCTATAGATGCTCCCACTTGGAAATTGGAAAAAATCTTACAACTTGTTAACTTCACTATAAATCTGGTTTGTCCCAGTGGATGCAGCACTCTTTGAGCACTCTAAGAGCATCTCCAACGGTAGATTTAACATATTCTATAAGTTGGAGTCACCCACGAATTTGAGGTTTGAAGCACGTTGACTATGAAGCGAGCATTTGATTGGCCATTTGATTCGTGTTCTGGGTGTTGATTGGTTAATTGATTGTCTGCCAATTTGGTGATGTTTCATTCCATCGACCACTTTCTGTACTAAGTCAGATTGACAGTTAGATTGACAGTGTGAATGAAATCCTCCACCATGGAGGTAAATACAGAGTTGCTGTTGGGGTTCACTTTGGTAACGTTAGTATAACGGTTTGAAATTTCAGATTGAAGGAAAATGATTATGAAGGAAAATGAAATCTGCAATTCTGCCCTGCAATAATGAGATGTAATGATGCAGCGTTACACTGGATTCCTGTTTGACTCGCCCAATAATATTGAGAAAACTATTGAAAGCAGCCAGCAAGAACGACAACTATCTTGTGCAATGGCTCCACTTGTAAGCTTACATAGTACAACACTGAAAACATGCAAAGCCCCCTAGACCCTCTGGTATTTTTGTGGGTCTCTTCCCAGTCCTACCCATGACATGTTGGAAATGTGACATTACAGCCCATGAATGGGTTTAACTGGAAATCTGCTTTGGATAATCAGGGTCTTTAACAAGAATGTTGTCAAGTGAGTGCAGTGCGTCTTCATACATACCTTTGTTAACAGGCGAAAACCCTACGCGTTCAGACGCTTGTATCCCACGTACGCGAACATTTCGACCAGGGGGATTGTGTGACCTTATCGAACGAATAGGGTTTCACCTATCAGAACACGGCCTGCCAACGAATTTCAACGTAATATATGTTGGACCAGCTGTTATTACCCAGGTACGGTAGTACTACTGTACAGTGTGCCAGTTGAAAGTACAGTGTAGTACGACAAGATTGTTCGATTCTGGGTTCTTGGGGAGATGTAGGTTACATCCTTCTATCTTGGCAATTTACCCTTCACAACCCATATATGTACACGGGTATGTTCACTTCATACTAACTGCACCGGTAATAACGTTAGAACTACATACTATAACAAATGGCAAGTACATATCCTTTCCTTAAGCACCAAAAAATATCGTCAAGTACTTGTAGTTTGAGACCCATATGGTTTATCGAACCAGAGTCATCCAAACCCATCTGGTCGAAAATGTTACGATGGATTGTACCCACTTCATGTATCCACAGTATACAATTCCCAAGTGTATTTTCCAATGCGACTATGTACATGGGTCCGACCAGCCACGGTCGTCGTTGCTTGCTGGTTGCCGTCGTTCCAACTCCTAAAGTATAGTACTCCATTGTACAATTTCCACACTCGTGCCCATGAAAACCTCGTTCGTCGCGCTCTTCGCCGTACTGGCTACCGCCGCCGCCGCCTCGTTGACCTTGACCAACGAAGAGATCAACGACGGCAAGATCCGCACCCCCGAGCAGCTCCAAGCCATCCAAGACGACGGCGACGACAACCGCAAGTGCCACACGTCCAACGACGGGTACCTTCCGGTGCTCAAGCCTGGCAACTACCAAGCGAGCAAGTTCCACGGGTGTTTCCGTACATCGAGTCAAATTAACGAGTTCTTGGACGTCCTGGTCAAGCAAAACCCGAGTGTGATCACAAAGTTCCAGATCGGTGAGTCGGTGCGCAAGCAGCCCATCTACGGGTACAAGGTGATCAGCAAGGCTGGCGCCCAGCCCAAGTCGCTGTACTTTGAAGCGCTGATCCACGCCCGCGAATGGACGACGGGGGCGTCCACGGTGTGGACGATCTCGCGCATTCTGGACGACCTCTCCAACGGCAAAAACTATGCGCTCGATTTGTACAACTTGTACTTTGTGCCGGTGCTTAACGTGGACGGGTATGACATCTCGTGGACGGCCGGGAAGCGGTACCAGCGCAAAAACGCCAACGAAGTCGACTTGAACCGTAACTTTATCAGCAAGTACGTCAACCCGAACCCGCCCAAGCCGTCCGACCAGACGTACCCGGGCCCGTTTCCGTTCAGCGAGCCTGAAACCAAAGCCGTGGACACATTTGTCAAGGCCCATAAGGATGAACTGTTTGGCTACGTGGACATTCACTCGAACGCGGCGTCGGTGCTGGTCCCGTACGGAGATACGTATGCCCCCATCGGCGGCGGCGAAGACGAAAAGTTCGCCAAGCTCGGCGCGAACGTCCGCGACGCGCTTAACAACGTCACAGGCAATCCCAAGGAATACAAGTGGGAAAAGTCTGCGGCTTTGTACCCTGCATATGGATGCTTTGACGATTACCACTACCGCACGTACAACAAGCCCACGGTGACGCTGGAAATGACCGGCGATGACTTTGTCGTGCCGTTCTCGGCGATCCCTATCCGAGGCGACGAAATCTACTACGGATTGTGGCAATTCGCCAAGGAAGTGAACGTGTTCAACGGCACGGCCACCACGACCCCCGCCCCCACCACGTCGTCGGCGCCCACTACCACCAAGCCGGCGTGTTAAAATGTCGTGATGTTACAGTGTAGCTGGCTGGCTCGCTGGCTTGTTTTCCATGTGGAACCACCATCGCATACATACTATATACTAATATATACAGTAGTGTTTCTTGTACCGATATGTCCTCATTGTGTTTTGGTCGAAGGTACTGTATTATAATTTTTGGGTCGAGAAATAGAAGTACGTAGTACTTGTGACATACGCGAAGGAGAAATTATTTACTACTAGTACTACTGCAACTATTACCCTAGTATTCTTGCTTGATGACTTAGAGAGTTTCAGTTGAGGTATGCCCAAAATACACCTTAATTTATTTAATTAAACCCTTGAAATATACTAGTAATCTCTAAATTGTTCCTATCTCAAATCGGTTTGGAGATTCACATTGTCAAGCGCTGAATCTCCCTCACTGTCAGCTAAAACTCGGAGGAAGATAAAAATTCATCCGGATGTTGGTCGACGTTAGCGCACCATCCATCCATTTCAGGAGCAATCAGCCTTCTATGGACTCCCAGCCACTTCCATTGAGATAAGTGTAATGCCTTGCAGCTACAGTAATAGTACTGATTATGGGCGTGTATGTCATTCAAACAGAGGTAAATTCGAATCGTTTGGTATCCGTACTGCCGTGCCCACAATTGCTCCTTGGAAAGGTGTCACTTCCATCAACTAATTTCACAACTTCGCACAACCAAAAATGACGTTTTTCACTTTTGAGTTGGAGATTCGTATCTCAAAAACAATCTCAAAAGTTGGCGTCTGAAAATTCTCTATTCTGTTAAACAAAGGTAACTATAGAAAAATCAGTACCCAAAAAACTCAATTCAGAATTGAAAAAGTATTATTTTTAAACATTGTTTTTAAATATTTGTAAATATACTACTACGTACTGGTAGTATATTCTCAACAAGGATAATTTTTATCTGTTTACTGTTCAAAAGAGTAATTTATTCTGAAAGATCATCCTCAAGGAACACTTCACTGTCAGTACTACCGTACTATCGGTAGCAATAGGTCTTAGTAAGTACGTAGTACTATCAATATTAGTACTATTAATATATTAGTACTAGTAGCAATTAGTACTACTAGTTGTGAACAAAGTCCACAAATATATTTATACTCTATATTAAAATCGCAATCATAGATGTCATAGATGTGACAGCTTGGCCGAGCGGTTAAGGCGATAGACTCGAAATCTATTGGGGAAACCCTCGTGAGTTCAAATCTCACAGCTGTCGATACTTTTTCGTTGTGTCTGTAAACCGAAAACGAAGCGTTGGGAAATCTCCTAATAAAGGGGGATAACGTTATTGTGCTTTCGAGTGAAATTTCGTGTTGTGGCGTGGTTTCTCGTTGGAATTTAAATCGATTTGATTGGCTACCTCAGATGAGCTCAAAATTATTAGCCAATCAAAACCCTCTCAATGAAATTCAACCAATCAGATCGATTGTGGATCGGTTTGAAGGTTTGGTCGGCGCGATTCGATTGCACCCCCTCCCCAAATTTGTATCAAATCGACAATATTGTATTATTAAAATAGTACTACTTCGAAGTAGTATGTAAGAACAAAGCAATGTGATACTATTAATAACGTTAGTACGTACCCTCCCAGTGTTCATATGTAATGCTCACTGGTCGTCCAATTGCTTTCAACATCTCGACAAAACTGATACATGCACGTCAGATATCGCTCTCTTCAATTTCACGTTTTCAGTTTATAAGGTCGTTTACAGTATCTAAGGTTGTTTGCCACACCAAACCATGCCCAGATCAGCAAACATTTCGCACGACTCAATACCGTACTCTGCAGGATAACAGTGCGACGAGGCCGGGTACCAGCATCCGTCGCAGCTATCACAGGGCCCTTGGGATGGCGTGGGGGCAGGTTTGGGGGTGGGGGTTTTGGTTGTGGGCGTAGCTTTTTTGGTCGTGGTGGGGTTCGGGACTGTCGCCGAGCTCTTCGTGTAGGGCTCGATGAAGTCGCGGGCTTGGGAAATGCGACTGTACACCCCTGGCTTTCCAACTTCGCCGCATTCGACGCCCCAGCTGACCACCCCCACCAAGCTCTCGGTGTTGTTGATTACCGTCGTCAATGGTCCCCCCGAGTCGCCTTGGCACGAATCTTTCCCCGCCTTGCCGCCGGCACAAAGCATGGACACGTCTACTTTTTTCTTTAGCGAAGCAGCACACACTTCGTTCGAGACAGTGTCGACAGACACTTGCTGGAGGGTTTGGGAAGGCGACCCTAATTGGTTCGTGAAGCCCCATCCGCGCACGATGGTCGATGTGGCAGCAGCAGGGACTGCATCGTACGAAATCTTGACCTTGCCAAAGGTCGAATCCCGCTCCAGAATGAGCACGGCAAAGTCGTACGATAGCGTGGTTGGGTTGAATTTAGGGTGCTTGATCTCCTTGACGATTCGGATTTGCTCGCCGTCGTTGCTTCCGCTGAGAAAATGCGACCCAATTGATGCATGCGTAAGGGGGGGGGACTTGCCGGTGCAATGGGCAGCGGTCAGGATAACGTTGGGGGCGATCAAAGTGCCGCCGCAGACGCCGGCCCCACCGGCCGACCGGCGCAAGCTGGCCACGTACAAGGATTGGCCCACGGGGGCTTCGTTGCCACCGATGATTTCGAGTTCGGCGGACGCGGTAGTCGCTATGAGGACCAGCACAGAAAACAAGCCTTTCATGTTTCCAACGAATTAGACAATGGAACAACGCCGCGAGCCAAGAACGTACAGTCGTGCCCACATGGGGCCATGTCCCAATACGTACCGGTAATGAGAACTTCTTCGAGTGACCCAGCAACCGGCCCAAAACACTGGCGGCTGTTCTACAACTAGAATACTACTGTATTGTTACCACGGTAAAGCGTTTTCTCGTCGAGATCTGAACCAAAGACAACGTTACGTCAACTTATCTCAGTCACTTAACGCGCGATCATTTGTGCTCGAGTTCGCCATTGTGGGCTGTCAGCATTGTGTAACAAATAATTCCCCAACACAAGGAGAGCTTCACGATTCAGAGGTACGAAAATGGATATATTACCAGATTTAGGAGAATTTATACAACATTGCTTCGTGACCATGCAAGCTGAGATTTCGCAACTCAGCTTCGCTTCTGTGACGACTCCACCAAATACCGTAACGTTATTGAAATAATTCAAGCTACAGTACTTCGAAGTACTCGAAGTAACTGTTAACGTTAGACTTATTACTTCACCTGGTAGACACTTGCTATTGCCAGTACTAAGATTTACAGTATTGCCAGCACAACATACAGTACAATTAAAAAAAAGGTACTAACTTACTTCGAAGTACAGTAGTCCAATTTTAGCTGGCTATCATTACATATTTCCCGTTAAGTTTTCTGTAACGTTACTAACGTTATGCATAGAGATGGAAGTTGTTCGCTCCCACCGCGCCTTTGATTGACCTCCACTTCATGTGGGCCATCCTCCACGCTCCATTCGAAGTGCCAACAAAACAGCGTGCACCATTTCAACAGATCTGGCCAATCACGGTCGAGGATTCGAATCCCCAAAGTGGACCGAGGGATTCTGTTACTATTAATAATGTAAGTTCCGGAGTAGTTTTCCTCAACTCTATAAAGCTTCAGAGGTTATTTTAAGGATAAAGATAAATACTCGTCTACGAAATCTCCCTATTAGTGGTTTGTGTTTGATATGAGTCCCCTAACGGTACCGTCGTCATCTATACCTTGACGGTCGATTCAACTCTAGCAGTACCAGTATTGTAGTCCTTACTGCAACAAGTACCAGTATTGTACGTACTCGTAGCCCTTACTGTTAGCCCTATATTTATTATACCTTGTGTGCCTGCGCACCATGATGCCACCACCAACCACCACTACATCGACCCCGTCATGCCCGAGACGTCCTTGACAACGACAATCTCAACCAGGTCGTTCTCACCAACCAGTACTCTGCTCCGACACAACTCAGCCCATTTAGGGCATCCTCTTGTAGGACGGTGTAATCATTGTTTCCCACAATTTTAAATAGTACTTCGAAGTAGTAATCTTATTCTTATTTTCTTAACAGTAAATTGCAGAATAAAAAACTGAATGGATCGATTGACCAAAAGTGTCAAAAAGGCGTGCGAAGTACTGATTATCCCCGGACAATATATTTTTACTCAACGCTTATTGGTCGAATTATTTATTTATTCGGTGTGGAACGTTAGGAAAAGCAAAAATATTCCGGCGACTCGGAATGATTTGATTGGTCAAGTCTCGGAAAATCGGTGCTTCGAACTGGGCCACAACAAGCTCCTATATATACTACGTAGTATATTAATAGTAGCTAAACTCGCAGCTAATTATTCTGATTACCGTTAAACAATGTATTTTTGATTACATTTTTTATATAAATCCCAGTTGAGTAAAAAAGGATCTAAATTATAAATATAATTTGAAATATATATACAGTATCTAGGCTTGAATCAACTATTACGATTTTACAACCTGAAAACCGAGTCTTTTCGACGCGGTATTCTGCTCCCGCTACAGATCAGACGGTACAGCGATATTCTCAATGGAGAAGTACATAGATGTATTCGAGTTGGGGACCAAAATAGGATTTTTACTGCGGTCCTTTATATGGTGTTTTTGTGTCCTACCACCTCCTACCAAAACCCTACCAAGTCCTACCATTCGTATAATTTAGCAGTTATTCGTACCCCCGGAATACATCGTGAAAATTATCGGTAACGTTATCCGCGGCACAGTACAGTATCCATTCCCCAACGAAGACAACTTACTTCCTCGGGTGTGCGTACAGTAGCTCACCCTCAGTTTACACTTAACGAGCGCCGATTAATACACCCATAACTGTCCTACAGAGTACTCAAGAGTACGGGACAGCATTTAATATTATACCAACCTTGGATACTATGGTTAATACAATATACTACGTAGTAATCGTTGAATCAAAGCGTGGATGACATTGGGATGAAGTTGTTGGATGAAACCTAAAGTATAGTGACCAGGCCTTCCGTTGGCCCCGAGCGCCCGGAAGGAAAAGAACCCGCACATTCACATCCACTGTGGCGAAGTGAATTATTTGATCACCGTCATTCCATCCCTATAAGCAGAAGTCCTAACTCTGCATGGCGTCAGACATGAATGTCCTTTGCTAGTATCCATTTGCCTTAAACGGGCCCCTTATTATATTTGGAAGAGCCGTTAAAACCAAAGCCCCGGTCCAGTCCCTCCGCATAACTGTAAATACTAATCTTTGTATAATACTTCAAGTATAGTTTATAGAAGCTTCAATGAGATCATCAATTGGAATATGGGGATTCAAATTCTATTTGGCGAAATGCCTTTCAAGTCCAAACATGGGGGAAATGCATAATACGTACATACTAAATGTTGTACTATAGTAAAGATTTGTACAAGATGAAATATGATCATGAACGCTACTCGGTGAAATCACTCGAAAGTCCAAATATTGAATAGTACTACGTACTAGTAGTACAAAACACTACTTTGGGTATAAATTCTAAGGGTGCGACTGGTAACCAGGAAAAATGCAATATTCAGACCCAAATTGGGCCGAATTCAACATATCTGAGATGAATTGAAACATGTTTGAAAGTTTTAACCCAAATCCAATAAATACTTCCACGTGGGATTTACTCGTTGAAGTGGTCCAAAACGCCATCTTACTACAAAATGGACCTTTTACCTCCATTTTGAAAATGGCATAGTTTGGTTCATCCCATTTTGCGAGAAAACGGAATATTAATATTTTTGAAATATCACCAGATGCACCCTAAATTATCAAGACAGGCTGGCCGAGCGGTTCGTTCTACACGAAGGCGATAGACTCGGAATCTATAGGGGGCGCAGCTCCAATACTGTATCTCACCGCGGTCGATATATATACATCCTATATTCCTATTCCTACTACTATAGGTATTATTCACCTAGTATTATGAATCGAACGATAGTAGCTCCATTCTTCATCTTATTTATGCCACGAGCACCGGTTGCAACTTGATCTGAAATTGGTTCGGGCTGGTTTGCACTAGCACGGGTCGCTTGGTGGTGCGGCATAGCGCCTTGAGCCATCGGTCGTGCCAGTCGTCCCGTCGGCGCTCGCTCAAACCGACGCGAAACTTCCACACAGTTCCGTCCTGGACCTGCAACGTCCATGTATCTCCATCATCCAGCATCTGCGATATCGTCGCCAGTGGGATCGTGGTCGTGGGTTTACACATCGCCTTGTCGTGGGGGGTGTACAGCACCACGGATTCGGCCAACAGTGTCACACACATCGAGTGAAACGTCGCAGGATTATTACTTGCCTGGAACAGAGTCGCCCATTTCTTTGAAGCGGAACAAGGCGGCGGCGGTGGCGGCATCATCACGTCCAAATCCGTTACGAGCACCACATGCGCACATCGTTCGAGTGCAAACGTGATCGAGCCCTGCACCACAAAAGAGAGGGGTATGACGATGATATCGTGAGTAGGATGTACGTACCTGGCCCGGTTTGGCCTTGTCGCCCAAGCTCATGCGTGATCCGTCGGGGTTTCGGGGGGTGTACATCAACGGCCCCAGGTTGATTTTCGTGACCGATGTCACAGATTGCAATGGCACCATCTACGTCGTTGACACATCACGAACATGACACGGACCATTCACCGAAACATGAATGTGATTTGATACATATTGTGGATTGATTCGATAGTAGTAGTCCCCGCCGTCGAATTGAAAGAATCACGCTACTCCCCTATTGAGCGCATTTGATTGGCTCTTACCAAAATGGTTCAACCAATCACAACTCCAGCGTGATGATTATTCGACATTGAAAGCGACGAATCACTATATTATTGTCAAATCGATTCGAATATTGGAGTGTTTGGGTGCTCTATCGAATGAGCAGAAGAACCAAATCGGCAGACAATCAATCGACCAATCAAAACCCAGAACACGAGTCAAGTAGTCAATCAAATCCACTTTTCGACCAATTCAACATCGAATCAGTGTGTGACTGAAAATAGTGTGACACTGGACGACCTTTCCATACAAAATCCAGGACAAACAATCGATCCATAGATATGGCGAATCAGCACAAAAGTCCAAAGTTTGGGTAAATGGACAATATTGTGTGTTGTACTCATAATTTCCACCGAACAATTGCCGGACCTTCGAAATTTCATATAAAACTAAGTTGAAGTGGTATCTTTGTGATTGCAATACTACAATCAATCTTTCTAGCCAATCAAATTGCAACCTTCATTCTTTGTAGCCAATCATACTCCTTATGCATCAATCAATCTTTCTAGCCAATCAAATTGCAACCTCCATTTCTTTGTAGCCAATCATACTCATTTGCTCGATTAGTTGGCGATTTCAACAAAATAGGCAAATTGACTGAAAAGCACAATACCACTTGTCCCAAAAAGTCGGGGCTCGAGCCAAAATCGTAGTCGACGACGGTGAGGCAGAGCGTCGAGGTCGGGGCCACCGCGGGCCTAAATGAGGTCGTGGGTTGGTTCGTTAAGACGTCACAACTGGGAGCGTGTCGTACAGTAAGAGGCGCTGATCCCACTGCGGATGCAGCGTCTTGTACGCAATATCGCTCTTCGTGGTCTGAACTGCTGCAATGTTGTCGAGGTGTGGAGGCTTGGTGGACTCGAGGACACTCACGATCACGTACGGGTCGCTAGATCCGTTCCAGTCCGCGGCGCGAAGGTTGTCGCCATGAAGCACTAAACATGGAGGTTATGGATATTGACATGTGGACGTGGACGTACAGTGAATGTACAGTGGATGGGGGCGGTTGGATTGCAGCAGAAGGGACTTGAATCGTCGGGCGGCACGTTGGATAGTTTGAGCCAACCGCATGACCTTGAGCATCGCATCCAGCGGCATGACGTTGTGTGTAGCTGAATCCTTGTCGAAGTCTTCAGGAGCATTGGAAACGTCCAGTTCGGCGCTTTCGGCGTCGGGTTCGCTGGATTCAGTTGAAGGCGACAAACCTTCCAAGTCCTCGTGGTGAATGCAAGGTTCACCCTCGATGCTGCTGTCGGCTGTGCTGTGTGCACTATGACGGGCCGGGGTCTCATCTTGGTTGGAGCGCACGATCGACGTGAGAAAGGATGGGTCTCCTGTGAAGTACCCACCGGTGTTGAGTGCGTCGCCCCACCCTACTTGCATTGAGACGACGTTCTATGGAGTCATCGGTAACCTACCGTGGGTGGACCACGCCGTGGCATGCTTGGGGACGTTTTGGGAGGCCAAGATATCGTGCCACAAGTCTGTGCCAAAATTGGCACGGATGGCAGAGTCGAGCGTCTTGACGAAGGCTTCCGAGTACGCATACGCCGCCGACGTGTCTTCCGTTGCAAAGCCATAAGGCTCTAGGTCGCCTTCCTCAGGGCAGTCTCGCGTGAGCATGCGGTGTTGCCGCGCGTCCGTCGCCGCCATGTAGATGTTCTTCGACGATGACAAGTGAAACCGTAAAATGTGCGATCTTTGGTTGCTCTTCTAAATACAAACTTGCAGTGGTTTCAGGACGTGTTTTAATTGGTCGTGGTAAAATATGCGGATTTGATTGGCCCATTTGAATCCTCGCCAATCCAAACGTCCAATTCCATAGAGAACAAAACCGCCTAGAATTAGGACTTCAATTACCTTAATTAAGGGCCTAATTAGGTATTGTGGGTCAACCAAAACCTCTGTAATTGCATCAATTATAGGTATAGAGAGGTTCGGTACGCTCAAAGACTGCAACCTACTTGCCTAATTTACGCGTGAACATTGTTCTAGACGGTAGCAAGATGATTACATGAGAACCCGAGACTATATGTACGCATGCTGCCGTGTTGCCGCCGCTCCAGATCGTTGCTATGAGACCTTTCACGGTTGATGACGACTAGTCATTGGGATATAGTACATGATTGGCTAAAATGCATTGTTTATGACGAATCAAAACGTGGCGTCGACTAGTTACACTAACTATTACTACGTAGTAGTTAACAGAAAATTCCACCGGAATTCACAATAATTATACCATAAACTCATAAAGCACCAAGCTCCAAAAGCGTTCGCATAATACTGTAGAATGGGCAAAGTTACACTATTAACTGATGGCAACGATGCCAACTTTGAGTTGGCAATGCCTGAACGGAGAAGATGTTCGAACGCTGATGGCATTTTAATTACAATAAACAAGGAATAACGAGGATAACCAGCGCGCAGATCGCAGAGCTGGACAGGGGCCATATTATATGCACATGATGCTCCTTTTAGAATAGCTGTAAGGGGTGGACTGGCCGGGGAGGCTACAGTTGTGATGGGGGAAACTCTGGTCATGGTGGGAGGTGCGCTGGTCGTGGTACTGTAGTCGGGTTCGTGGGAGCGTCTGTGGGGACACTTGTAGTTGGTGTGGTGGTCGTGGCAACTACCGGCGTCGCGGGGGTTTTCTTGGTGGTGGTTGGCTCGATGGTGGACGGTTTCGACGTCATGGCGTCCTCGCAAATGGATGCTCTCGGGCATCCGTCATAGGTGGGGCTGGTGCACGCACAGCGGGACGAGGCCACCCATGGTGAGCGTGAGGCAGTTGGGGCAGTTTGCAGGGTCGGACGAGCGATCACATTTCGTGCCATGGGACAATAAGCACTCCTTCGTCGCTACTAATCAAAGCGCATCATTCTTCGCAGTTGCTGCCGCCACGACCACGGCAACGGACGGATACAACAATAGTCGACGGGTGAGGCATGGTAGCGTCAAATCGGAAGTGCTCTCCGAGCGTCAACGCTCAGTGCTCAGTGATGTCTTGAGTGACGACCTCATTCTGCATGAACCCCGCCATGTTGCGCGGTTGTTGCTGGCTCTTGATGTGAGAACATGATGGTGAAGCTGATTTTATTCGGATCATATGGATATATAAAGGTCGTCGTGTTTTTCTCTGAATTAATTTATTTAGAAACATGACAGTATATTTGCATATTTGTATGCTTCCACCGGCATGGCGAATAAAATTATCTTGATCGAGTTTGTGAACATTGTTGAGGGTTTAAATAAAACGTTTCAAACATTTCAAACATAACAATTGGGTTCGATGGACGTTTTAAACGATTTAAAACCGTTTGGAACTTCCTTGATCAGGTTGGCAGAGGCTCGAAGGGGTGGGTGTAATGGCTCCTCTTCCTCTTCATCGTTCGCATTACCATGACGCCGGGACAATGGTCTGTTGTGGCATCATTCCTTGTCTTCCGATCTGTAGCAGCTCAAATGGACCTTTGCAGCACCGTCCCATTCTGCTTGGTGTACGCCACGTCCACCACGTCGTTCTCGTGTGACCGCTTGACATACGAATGTGGGGAGTGCCTTGCCTTGGATGCCATCGAAAGGACCGTATCGTGCACCGCGAAGGTGACGCACGACGCGTGCCTTGGCACGTGGTGTCCGTCCAATGGTGAACTACCACCGTTTCCGTTCCCGTTCACGACCACGCCAACTCCCACCACCACGCCAACTCCCACCACCACGCCAACTCCCACTTCCACGAAATCTCCCACTACCACCTCCACCATCACCACCACGAAAGCTCCCGTCGTCACGACAACGACACCTAGGCCAGCCACCACAGTCACGGCATCCCCGGTGGTGACGTCCGCCGCCCCCATCACGTCGGCACCTGTCAGCAGCTCCAGCTCGAACACGTCCATCTACGTAGGTGTGGGCTGCGGCCTGCTGCTGTTGGCCGTGTTTGCGATGTTCATCCTATGGAAACGGCGGCAATCTCGCGCTGAACGTATCGAGCTGGAATCCCAGCGACAGGTAGCCAAAGACGAAATGCACCACGGCGACCCTGCCATCTTCAACACGATCGGCCACCGAAGCTTGATCATCAGCGCGCGATCGGAACCAGATGCGATGTGGTGGGTAGCCGAGAGGGACGCGCCTAGTAGTAGTACTACTAGTGCTACTCACGCCGCGTATCCGCAAAGTACTAGTCACGCCGCAAATCCTCAAAGAACTAGTCACTCCGCCGCAAGTTCCACGGCGACGCCCGCGAGAGTGAGTGGTGTATAACTGTGTAGCGGTGTGTATACTGACGTACTATTTAACAAGACTGTATAATGTATAATACTAGTACTGCAACTACTATATACTACTATGAGTTCTAGTATGTACGTAGTGGAAGCAAACCAGACTAACGGTATTACTATAACAGGAGGTGTGAACTCCACCCAAAACCACCTCGGTCTATATAGCTCTTACAGCTGTCATATGCGCCCACAAGTGAACCCTCCGCCAGGGCTAGAAATTTACATTAATCGGCTACGCCTGTAAACTTCATACTAACTTACTTATTAATAGTATTGGTAATTCGATTTCAAAATGAATCGACGGAAAGAAGTAGCCAATGAAATTTTCGAAAAAAGACCTTTCGACCAATCAAATTGCAGGTGTATCCGGTGCATTGCCAAGCTTCTCCATTTTACAAAAAGTTAAGTTGTATCGGACAGGAGTCACAGTGAGTATATTTAGTTCAGGTAAAATCACGTCTCGACGATTTCAGGTGGATTTGACGTCGTTCGTCGAATCTACGGAAAATACCAAATTTTGCTCGAAAGCACAATATTAATACTAGAAGCAAACAAGACTACCTACAACACCAGCGGTGTGAACTCACTCCCCTGCATAAACTGCTTGTTCTTATGAATTCCATATGCAACAAGTCGACATCCCATCACACAGCTGGTACCAAACGTCGTCTACTATTACAGTAATATATACAAGTATATCGTAAACACTAGACGTTTCATGACATTTCATTCGCTGGAATGTCAAGCAACGAATTATGCACGCACACAACTTTTTGATTGGATGATCAAGCTCTCTTGTAACTGACCGATTTAACAACCAATGAAAACGAAGAGAATGGTGTATTCCGCAAGTCTCTACGTTTTATTGGACAAAATTAATCTCAGATAAGAACGGGGGCCAGCACTGTATGTATATAGCAAGATCGTTCGGTTTACAGAAACGTCGCGGGTCGATAATCCTCTTGGAATTTGTATACTTGGTTTTCCAATGCTTTTTTGGTCTCGCTCAAGATAAACACGGCGCCAATAAGGCGCAACCCTCGAGGCACTGTGCCCTTGTATAGATGTAGTAGCCCGCCTTGGCGCCACAGCGCTTGGAGTTCTGTGAGCGTATGCGACGGGGTTTTGTCCAGGGCTTTGCCTTGTAAAATGGTCTTGATTGTGTCGACAGGTTGAGTTGCCAACACGGCTACGAGTCCCGCGCCCACGCTGCCTACAAGGGAGTATAGTACAGTACAGTACAGTAGTAGATCTGTGACATGTTTTTTTTGCTGTACCGGCCAACGAAGCTGCCGTGAGCTGGGACAACGATGCGTCGTGCAATGACCCAAACACTACTGGGAACTGGGCGTGCAATTTCTTGCCAAATTCGGGACCTAGCGCCAGGAAGCTCGCACACCACACCGTTTCCCGGGCCATGGTCAACGGCAGTGCCTTGTAGAGGCGTGTGATCCCGAAAGAATGCACCACTTCCTGCGACAGCGTTAAGAATAGAACGGACTTAGTTTCAAATGTCACATTTAAAACGATTCGAATGGGAGAGAGAGAGAACGAACAAGGACGTACTCGAGTGGTTTGGACCATCGTGTGCCCTGTGCGTTGCTGCAACGTCATGACCAGCTCGGCGGGAGAACTGAGCAAGGACGAGCACACGCCTGCAAACGACGCCGTGGCGATGCGGCTGGTGTCGCTGGAAGCGGGGGGGGATGCGTGGTGGCGTTGGAGGTACGACGACAGCATCCCGTCCACGGCGAACTGGACGCCAGACACGGGTGCGATCGACGCACACATGATGCCCACGCCGCGATACAGCACCGACGGCCGAAACGAGATGGGTTGGTTTTGCTACAAGACTTGCGTGGGTCGGCGGTAACGAACGGTATGGGAAGTGGCGGTGCATCGCATCTAGTGTACCTGGATGCAGTTTTTGATCGAGAGCAGTGGTTGCTGGCAACACACTTCAAAGATACCAGAGGCAGATCCGATGGCAGCATGTTGCAGTCCTGACAACGGCGCGCGGGTGCGGCTTGTCGTTGGCTGCTGGGGCGTGACTACGGCTGTGTCCTGAACGGCCATGGTCAATTTGTGTTTTTCGCATGTGTACCTACTGGCACTGTATTATATCCAATCCAATGCCCACGTTTCATTTTGATCCGTTTCATTCGTCCAACTATGGTAGGCCAATCAGACCTCAAAATTTTGAGATATCTCGGACGAAAAATACATCGACAGCTGTGAGATTTGAACTCACGCGGGTGACCCCAATAGATTTCTAGTCTATCGCCTTAACCGCTCGGCCAAGCTGTCCTATACAATACACTAGCACTTTGCTTGACAGTATCTGCACGTCATCTACACAGGTAAGACAGAAATCTTCACCAGGTGTCAACCATATTTTACAGTTAAGAATAATTATTACGTAGTAATAGTACTTCGAAGTACTAGTGCCCATAATAGTGTTACACTCAAAAGTTAACTTCGAAATATTTATACCCCATACCAATTCTAAATGCAAATCGAAGTACCACTGGGTGATGATTTATAACCTCCCACGTGGCCAAATACAAGACTGGAGATTAAATTATTTAACATATATTGTGCTTTTCATATATTCTGGCTATTCAAGGCCTAAATCCGTGGTTTAAAAAAAATTCGTCGTTGAATTAGTCCTGTCCGGTCAACCGTAATATATTACGGTTGATGAATTCATATTTTTACGGATGGCGATGTTTAAACAACTGCATACGCAACGATGATTGGGTAAGTAATTGATGGCGTGCCAGAGTTTAAGCTTAATCACCTTGTTTGCCGATTTGAATTCGGCAAACAAGTTGTTTTACCATGATCAGCATTGACATGCGCTGGAGATGCGTTGTCTTCGTTCAAGTCTACGGAATCGAAACCGGATGCGTGTGCCTCCTCCTTGGCATCTCCGAGCGTAGTGTAACCAGGTTCAACAAGATGTTTTCGACAACTGGCCATGTCTGCGACACGAAGAGGCGGGTCCGGGTGAAGAGATGGCCGCCGGAAGTGAACTCATGGGTCAGCGAGTACGCCATCGCGCATCCCTGCTTCTACTTAGAGGAGCTCGAAGAGGCGCTGAGACTGCAGTTCCCGTCGCTCAACAACATCTCAGCGTCTAAGATATGCAGAGCGCTCATGCATGATCTAGGATTAACGCGAAAAGGTATAATTGAGCATATTTCTTGCATTAATTCTCAAGTAAATAGTCCTAGAGAAACGTGCCCGCGAGACTGCTGAGTTTGAACTTCGGGACTACTATCGGCGCTTAAGCCCGTACTACTCATACCCTGATCAACTGATCTTTGTCGATGAGACATCAAAGGACGGCCGGGACTCAATCCGCAAGTACGCCTGGTCGAAGCGGAATCAAAAGGCGATTATGGACTTGCCCTTTTCTCGTGGTCAACGAGTTTCCGCTCTGGCTTCATTTACTACTGCAGGGTTTTTGTCTTGGGAATATGTCGATGGTATGATTGATATTTATTTTGGAGTTTTTTGTTTGGGATAAATTCACATTAATAATTAATTAATGTAGGTACTTTTGACCGTGTGAATTTTCACGACGCCATGGTCCGGAAAGTTTTGCAGTATTTGAACCCTTGGCCATTGCCGCGCTCGATATTGATCGTGGACAACGCGAAAATTCACATGTACAAAGAACTTCAAGACGCAGTCCATGCCCGAGGCGCATTATTGTTTTGTTTTGCCGCCATATTCCCCGAAGTTGAATCCCATTAAAGTTGGTTTTAGCCTTCTGAAGCGCTGGATCGGAAAATATCCCATGGCATTCCGCTTCAACATTCGGTCAGTATTAGATGTAGCATTTGTGGAATGCACAAAAAAAGATGAGCAGATAGGACTCAATTTGTACCGTCACTGCGGCTACAATTCCACAGATTTAGACAAAGATACATTTTTAAATGAATAATCTGAAATTACTCATTAATATGATCACTGTCCTCAACATTGACGCTGGGCACCGGAATTTCTCCCACTACTGGCGCCCTAAATATTGGTGTCAAGTCGAACGGGGGAATTCCCAGAATGCCACGCAGGTCTTCCACCGAGAGAAAAATGTCCACAGGGAAGCTGGCCATCGTGCCAAGGCGCATACGCACCCTGCGGTACGTGTCGTTTGACTGGGAGATACTTTCGCGGTGACGGGCGGCAGCATGCTGGGCGAGCATGCCGTCAATGTGGCCAAGCTGGCCCATTGTTGCATTCGACGGTATTTCGACGGGGGCAGTCACGGGCAAACGGGCAGCAACGACCCCCGTATAATCCGTTTGGAGCGGTCCAAGCACGATGTTTTGGTCGCAAATATAATCTTCAACTCTGACCGCTGACGTTGCAATGTTGCTTGAGGTTGCGCGTCTTATCGCGGTGCTTGCCGCATTTTCTAAATGCCACAAAAATATTTTGGTTAATTGCATCCTTCAAATTAATCAATATTTTTTTATTTATACGAAGTTAATGTTGTGTTACCGATGTAGACAAACAGCAGCAGCTTGAATGATGCTTGTGCATTTCGAATCTTGCTGGCATTGTCCCATACTTGTTGGAGCACATCCGAGTAGTTTTGCAGCGTCAGTTGGACGTATTTATCCTGCGTTGTGTTTGCGGCCACCTTTACGAAGATGCCGCTGGGGGTAGTTTGGGTAGCAGGGTCCCAAGAGAGCTTAACGTTCGTTGGGACAGCATGGTGTTCGACGACAGCGGTCGTGACGGCATCCATCACAGACGCATGAAGTACCCCAAACGACGTACCAGTCGAGATGGTCAGCTCGGTTGGCTTTCCGACACTAGTTCTGCTCTTGCCCAATGGCACGCCAACCTTGGTTGCCACTTGACACCGAAAGGAGTCCGGGAACTCGACGTTCAACCGCTCGCCTTGCATGTTGTTTTACGAATGGTGATTGTCGAATTTAACGTCATTACAAGTTTAGCACAGGTGCCAGATTCATGGTTTGCGTTGAATAACGTTCTTGGCCCTGTGGTTATATTCCTATCACCTCCTTGTATTATGAGCTAAAAGAACGGGCAAAGTTCATGCAAAGCACAATACTTCCTCTGTTCCAACACAGTATACTGTCGACAATTCAAAATCCCATTTGTTCCAAATTACTGTCGACAATAAATGCCCTATGATTCGCCCATGAAATATTTCCATTGATTTCATTGGTTTAGAAATTTATCAGATGGATGAAATCATTTGTGCGCTAGTAATGGGTAAATTGGCCCCTTCAGACCCCTATATATTTTGGTAAAAATAAATTTAATCGCTTTAAACAAAGTCAATTATTATAGGCAAGACTGTATTTTTTTGAAATGTGCTGACCACAAATCCTCCAATTTTTCATACGCCATCGAAAAAGATATGTTTCATCAAATTTGAACAAGAAATGCGATTTTGGGGTCGCTTTGAAACCAAATGTCGACAGTATATTGGAACAGAGGTAGTACTTCGAAGTATATACTGAAGTACTACAGTAGTAATAGACTGCAAAACCAGTTTGCAAGGTGTGTCGTGAGAATAGTGACGGGACAGGATATAACTATGCACGATATGAAATCAGGCTTATTTTGTCAGACACTCATCACCTTTACAATATCCGCTGAACAGATTAAAAATCGAAGAATTTCCAAAAGACCGCTGGTTTTCCTAAATACTACCATAAATAACTTTTTGTGAGGTGATTTGGATATTACATCAGTTCTATTTCGAGGCTGGCGACTGGTTCGAAATAGAACTGGTCTTGAGCTGGGATTTCAGTCTGAGGATACCTCCGCGATTATAACGTGACGGATCTGTGATTTGCCAAAAGATCGGTGATTTACCGAGCTGCATTACCCAATACAATTCAAGAATTGATATGATTGGATAAAATAAAAGCCTGCAACAACTGATACCTTCAAAACTTTATGTTGGGAATAGTACTAACTTAAAGAGGGGCTAGTCTGTTTTCAAATCAAGTATGACCTGTAAAATATTATTACGGCATAGATATAATATTTCTCTATAAATCAAAAATTTTGTTTCATCGTAAAATTCCGATACTGAATACAAGGTTAAAATCCGGCGAATCACCGATCGCCTGTTTGAGCGCCTAACTTGGACATTTTATTTGCCCTGATTCAAACTCTTATACTTGATTTGTATTCGGACGATGAGATAAAGCTCAAAAGGAGAGTTCGGCACTGCAACTTTCACGTCGAGATAATTTGAACTTCGCCAGGTATGGTCGATTGAATGGAGCTCAAAATCGGCAAATCACTGATCCGTCACGTTATCGTGGTACAGTGGTTAACCTGGTGAAATGCTGGATGACTATTGCAAGTAGCACTTGGAGTGTGACGGGTGAAAGATAGCATGGGGTCTTACGGCAGTGCGACAAACTCCTTTTTTGAACTATATCATCATCGTTCATATACAAAATCGTATCCCTCGACCACTAACACTAAACTTATGGGCTTTGCGACAAATTGGGGGAAATCAAGCCACGTATTGAATGGCGGCTGTATCTGCTGTCCTGACAGCAAATCTTTCGACACGACGGGAACTCGACTGGCGCTGCACTTCAGCTCGACGCATTTGAATGAGCCATAGATCGCACACGACACTTCCACAACAAGCAGATACGGCCAAAAACGTTTTCCACAAGCACCCGGTGAGCCGACACTTGACGGTTCCGCTCAACGTCCTCTCGTTCGAGTAGGCCTCTTGATGGGTTCTTCTTGGGGTACACACCTCATAAGTCTGTGATCATGCCGTAGTATCCCTTGTCGACCAAAAACGCCCACACAATACCAAATTTTTTGTTGACTTAAAACTATATCTATTAAATTTAAAGATTGAGCACAAACCACTACAGACAATATTGAAAAACCTATGGTTAATTCATAAGATACCATTTGAGCTGATGAACGTAAAGCACCTAAAAAGGCATATTTGGAATTACTAGACCAACCTGCAATTATAATACCATATACACCTAAAGAAGATATTGCTAATAAATACAAAATACCTAGCCTTGGAGTGTGTATTGCAGGAAGCGTATTCGATCGTTACGACCAAGGTACTTTACATGTTGGTGTGAGCAGTATAATTTAGTGACAAGCGATGTGGGATAAAATTTGAGTAGCAGGAAGGACGAAAAAATATCGACAGCTGTGAGATTTGAACTCACGCGGGTGACCCCAATAGATTTCTAGTCTATCGCCTTAACCGCTCGGCCAAGCTGTCCTTATACTGTTCAGGGAAATTTAGCTTGACATTCAGCACCATTCATCCATCGGCTAAGACATCAGTCATCAGCCTGTTGTAAGCCAATATATGCACCTCTTATTCGTCCAAATGTATTCCTTGAGGAATTAGTGCCCCTGACAAATTATACCTTGGACCAGCCATTTCTTTGTTCGTCCTATAGCAATCGTTACTATAACAGTTAATACCAACCCAGGCGGTGTAAAGCACAGGCAAGCTGTACCCAAACTGGTCGCTGACTTCTGTTGCTTGTTGGTTGAAATACACTGTGCATTTCTAACAAATGAACTAAGAATGCAAGTGTACTCTGACAAACTCTTACTTCTTGCACAAAGTCAGAAACAGACATGAATGGAAGGACAGATAACTGCTCCATTGAACGTAGCACAGGCCTCCGAGGAAGCATATAGCGCGAGCTTAGGAGCATGAAACGCAATTGAAGAAGCCTGTGAACCTCTAACCAGTCGCATGCGTCGAACGTAGATTGCAAGTGATAATTGTTCGAATCATAGTGTCCAAGTCAACGAGGATGGCTGACCGCTCTGAATGATGCGGCATTTTCTCCAAGTGAGTTATATTCGGATACGGATAACTGCCTGTGAGTGCATCGACAGTGAAGTCCTCTGAAGTCAATATTGACTCCCCTGTGTTTTTCAGTTTACCAAATTAAAATACGTTTGAATTAAAATATGCGTTTCAAAATCGTCGAAACGCAAAAGCAGAATGAAAAATCCAATATTGACTCCCCCTAGTTACCTGCTAACAATTCTACTCATACATCTCGAGTTCCAAAGACAAAAGCAGTGCTGCGTCTCATTGTAGAATTCGTCCGCGAGCGACGTCGGACCCGAACACGAGTCGTAGCGAAAGATGTTATGACAGTTTTGAAACAGCATGGTCATGTTGCGTACGATGAAACCGACAACAAGATACAAAAGCGTGTCTACGATCCGTTCAGGAGTATCTTTTGAGTCGTGGATTCAAACGAGGACAAAAGAAAGGTCAGGTCAAATATGGTCTTACTGATGAAGTTGTTATTGCTAGAGATAAGTACATTAAATATATGTCCGGTACGATTGAATCAAGCGACGATGAAGAAAGCGACGATGACCAAAGCATTCTTAAGGATATCGTAGATGGGCCACCTGTAATGACATAATACTCGTATCATTTAATATTTCTTACCATCAAATTTGGGCAGGTTATTCTTGAGCATATGGTTGGAAGCACTTCTATAAAATGATGCGAATTAATAAATACCCCTCCATGGTCTCGTCGACTGTTAACACGTACGGATTTTCAAAAGTAGCGTTTTTCGTGTGACACCAGGGATCGGCGCATGTTTTAGACTTGTGTAATGAATCCTCCAAAACTCTAGTTAGTGGGATGCTTTCATAATATTAGGTATCAAATGAATATGTATTTCGAATTGGTCGTCCATCCGAGCGGGTTAACTGTTATAGTAACGATTGCTGTAGGTGAACAAAGAAATGACTGGTCCAAGGCATAATTTTTCAGGGGCACTAATTCCAAAAGGAATACATTTTAACGAATAAGAGGTGCATTTCTATTGGCTTACAACAGGTTGATAACTAGGGGGGGTCAATATTGGATTTTTCATTCTGCTTTTGCGTTTCGACGATTTTGAAACGCATATTTTAATTCAAACGTATTTTAATTTGGTAAACTGAAAAACACAGGGGAGTCA